CATGTCTAAGGAAGTCTTACAAGCTCACGTGTTGGCTGGGGTTGATTTACAGACGGCGGGGAGAGGGGAGGGGCTGATTTCGTGGAAGAAGCCGAGTGTGGGCTGGGTTAAGGTCTCGACGGATGGAGCGAGTCGGGGTAATCCGGGTCAGGCTTCAGCGGGAGGAGTGATCCGGGAGGGGGCTGGGTCTTGGAGGGGCGGGTTTGCGCTAAATATTGGTATTTGCTCGGCTCCAATGGCGGAGTTATGGGGAGTTTACTATGGCTTGCTGATTGCCTGGGAGCGGGGTTACAGGCGGGTGGAGTTGGAGGTGGATTCGGAGTTGGTGGTGGGTTTTCTAAGTCAGGGATCAGCGATGCTCATCCATTGGCGTTCCTGGTACGTTTGTGCCATGGCTCTTTATCAAGGGACTGGATAGTCCGGGTTTCTCACGTGTATAGGGAGGCTAATCGTCTCGCAGACGGATTAGCGAACTATGCGTTTTCTTTGCAGTTAGGTTTTCATTCTTTTGATTCTTGTCCTGATGTAGTCCGTTCGATAATGTTAGAGGATACGGCTGGGACAGAGTTCCCACGTAAAGTACGATTGTAATTTTTTAGTTTGCTTTAATAAATGGTGGGAGATAATTATCTCCCCTCCCCTACCAAAAAAAAAAATTAGGCCCAATAGGCTTTGTTTAAATTCGGCTCAAATCAGCCATTAATTTCCGTATGAAAAGACGGCGTCGTTTTATCTCCGCAGCTTTAAATCGGGTCAAAACGCCATTCTCGTTTCTTCATCAAGCAAAGCTTAAAACCAAATCAAAAAAGCACGAGAAGCATCGTTTCTCAACTCTACTGTTACGGCATGAAAATGACGAGACTACCCCTCTTCGTCGTCCTCCTACTCTTCACCGCAAGTTTCATCACTCCTACGGCGGCGGAGATCAAGTCTCTCACAATTTCCGACGATTCTAGGCCGATGATTCTCTTCGAAAAGTTCGGATTCACTCAGTCCGGTCATGTTAGCGTCTCTGTTTCCTCTGTATCAGTAGTATCTTCTTCGTCTGTTCCGATCCCAGATCCGTCGAGGCTAGGGTTCTTCCTTATGTCCGAGGAATCGCTTCTCCAGGTAGTCTTAGAGATCGAGCAAAAGCCTAACTTCTGTGTACTCGATTCCAATTACGTCCTCCATCTCTTCACATTAAAAGATCTCTCTTCTCCTCCTGGTTCCCAAATACGAGCACTTGTACCCGGTGATTTCTCCGAACGAATACTCTCTCTTCTTCGTGAATTGCGTTACGGAAACCAAAATTTCGATGAAGGTTCGACCGGAGATGTACAATTTAGACCCGAACGGG